CGGGCAGGGGCACGGTCACCCGCACTGGCTCTCTTCTGTGCCCGTCTGTGGCCCAGTTTTGTACCATAAATGTCCCTTTCTGCTCCACGTTTCCTGTTCAATCCCCTTACGTGAGGGCAGTGAGCACCCACCCCTATCCCCCTCCGCCGTGAGCTGTGCCTCGGCTCTGCTTGTTGTGTCCTTGCCTGTTCCCCTGCGGTTGCGTTATTAATTTGCACGGAAACCCTTTGCCAAGCCGCAGTTAATGGAGACAGATGATCCTCACGCACCTCGTGGCAGGAATTGGCCAACGATTTCATCTGAAGAGATTAAACTTTGATCTTGTTATAAATAATTTTCCCACCGCTTGATCAAACGCTTTAGCACGTGTTGTTGCTTCCTCTCCCCTCGTGTGATGGTTTCGGTGGATCCGTGGGGCGGTGCCGCAGCAGCAGAGGAGCTGTTCCTCATCGGGATCCGCATTGTTAAGGGGGGGATTTCTCTGGGGAGGCCTCGTGTTCCCCAGCTCCGGCTGCTCCTGAGCCAGCGCATGGGGAGGGGTGAGCCTGACCCGCTCTGGTAATGAGCTCTGGAAACGATGGGCTCTGGTAACGAGCTCTGGTAATGAGCTGTGGCTCCGGGGGCTCCTGCCCGGTGTCGGACAGGGGGTCCCATGCTCAGGAGCTGCCTCCTCGCCTGGGGCTCAGCTCTGGGCTGGGAACACAGGGCTGGGTAAGGGTCCTGTCCTCTGTGGTGTGAAGCAGCAAATCCACGGCACCCACCCATGCTGCGGCTGTGGGGCTGTGCCTGTACGGATTTCCTTTGGGTGGGGATCTCAGCACTGCGTGCTCATAAAGAATAGGGCATAATTATTGGTGTAATTGGTTCAAAATCAGCGTCTCTTGTTGAGCTGCCGAGTCTCCGGATGCAGATGGTGGCTCAGAATTACCCGAGCAGCAGGAAGTTTTGAACACGTGGATGTTTTGCTGCTGAAGGTGTCCCCTCCGCGGCTGCTCCGTCTGTGATGCTGGGCTCCAGGTCCTGCTTTGTGACAGGGACTCAAAGAGGGGGCAGGTCCTCTCCTGGGGAGGGGACTTCTGAGTCCGGTTTGCCTGGAGCAGCCCCTGCCACTGCGGCGGCACACGGAGCCGTGGCTGGTGTAGATGGGTGCATTGCGGTGCCATCTGGAGCCTCTGGCCATGGCAGCCAGCACTGGATGGGGACAGAGATCAGGAGCGAGGGAGGTTTTGGGGTGCTTGAAGCGCGGTGCAATGGTCCTGGGGAAGTCGCTTGCGGCAGCAGGGAAGCTCTGGCTGCAGAGATGCAGATTCAGAGGGAAAATTAAGCAAAGACACAAGACCCTATTTAGCTGTCAGATCCCTGCTCCTCTAAATATAGCTCTGAGCACAGCTCTCGCGCTGCCCTTCCCCGTCAGCAGTCACAAGAGGGAATTGGCAGTTGTTCATGGTGTTTGCAGGGGAAAAGAAAAGATGCTATTTAGTCTGCAGGAGGCAAAATTAATACCGTGTTTTTTCTAATCTGGCCCCAGCGTGGGACTAAATAAAAGTGTTTGAGGAGCGAGCAGAGCTGTTTACCTGCAGGAGCAGAGCTGCATTAGCCATGTAAATGTACGCTCTGGGCCGGCATCGTGTATATTCCCGGCAGGGATCAGCTCCTGTCTTAAAGGGCTTTTAAATCTGTTACAGGTTAATAACGCAGCCGGCGCCGAAACGCGTCCTCCTCTCGGGCCAGTGATGCCGGGTGCTGGAGGTGTTGGGGTCTGTGCCCATTGCCCCTCACCCCAGAAGGAAGTGGTGTGGGTCGTGGTTGGCTCTGGCTCTGCAGGGCTGTGGGGAGGGCGTCCCTGGGGATGGGGGCGCAGGATCCGGCACCCATGGGGCTGCCCCTGCCGCGGGGCTCCTGGTTCAGCTCCGTCGCTGAGCGTTCGCTGCTGTCCCGACCCAACCCTTTGGGTCTGGGAGGCTGCAGTCGTTCAGGGCAGGGACGCGGTGCCCACACCTGGGTTTGTGCCTTTGCTGCGGCTGCTCTGGTTAATTAAGAGGAGCAGACCCACATACAACGGGAGGGAGTTTATAAAATCAGGCAGAGCGGTGAATAATTTAATGTTTGCTTTTTCGGAATAGAGGCAATGTTAGGGGAGCTTAAAATATTGATGGGACACACATTTTTTTTCACAGTGTGAAATGCTTTATAGTCTGCGTGACTTTCTTTAATCCCTTTTAACGTGTTTGAAGCTGGCGCCTGCTTTTCAGCGTGTGCCATGGGCTCTGCTCTGCAGCCCAGCACCGGGTGAGGGTGATTTTTCCCCTTGGCTTTGTTAACAGCCAAGACTGCGTGTTCAGGTTTCTTCAGTCGGTTTTTTAGATTCAGAGATACAGGAGGGCACCTGTGTGATATTTTATTGATGGGAATCACATAAAACCGCAAGGAGCACTTAGCGTGGTTTACAGGAGCAAAACCCACGTCGAGCATCAGCCCCTGTACCGCGTCTCGTTTCCTAAAACACGCAGTTTCCTCTGATCAATCCAGGGCAGAACACGGGGCTGCAGTAGAAGCTGTTATTAAGGTACAGGTTCCTTTTCCCTGCTGAAATATTCGGTGTCTCTTGAATCTCACCTTTGCAGCAAAGGCACCGATGTCCTGGTGTGTCCAGATGCTGTGGTGGGCAGGGGAGGAGATGGCCTGGAGGAGGCAGGGGAGCGCAGGGACGGGCGGGCAGAGCCCCTCTGCTGCCCCAAACTGCAGCAGCGTTGGGGTGCCAGGAATGTGAGGACAGAGAAAACTCCCGTGTGACCTCGGGGTTGTGCTCCCCATAACGTGCAACCTGGGGGTTGTGCCTGTCTGCTCAGAACCAGAGCATCCGAAGCGTGGTGGCCCCCGTTGTCCCCCCAGCAGCGCCCTCACCCGCTGCTTCCCTCTCCTTTCAGCGCCCACTCCCGTCACCGACATCCGCACGGACCGGGTGGAGCAGAAGAGCATCTCCTTGTCCTGGCAGGAGCCGGGCTTGGCCCCCGCCAACGGCACCGAGTACGAGGTCAAGTACTACGAGAAGGTGGGCCTGGAGTTTGTGTTAATTCGGGGGGGTTCTCCGTATGTGCAGCAAGATTTCATCCACTCCTAATGCCGACGTCTCCCCAAGAGAAAGAGCAAAGCTAACAACTTTAATTCATTCTTTTATTGTTTTTAAATGCACTGGATGGTTTTTTCAAGGGCATTAGAAACGGGAGGTTTGGGTGCTGATAGGGGCCACTAAACCCTATGGGGTTTCTGGGTTGGTGCCGGTGACTCCTGTGTTCACTGCCTGTGAGGGCAGAGCGTGGCACCTCGTGGTCCCCACTGGTTTTGGGCTGGGGCCACCGAGCCGTGACTTTGAGCTGTGAGTGTCTGCCACACGGGAGGGGACGTGAGCTTTTATGGCAGCCTCTTAATTCAAATAAGAGCTGCTATTTGACAGGTGAGTCGAGAATTTGAGAAGAAATACTGACGAGCAGAGAGCAGGGACGATGCTGTAAATCAAAATAAATGCAGTTTGTGACACAGACCCACAAATTACCTTATCTGCGTGTGCTCAGGCTCGTTATGAAACTGATTGCACGTCAGGCAGACGGCGCAGGTGACACGTTGCTGTTCTGTATTTAGAAACAAGCTACCTTGAAGCTGATTCATATTAATGTGGTTTTCAGCATCCCATAGACTTGAAAGGAGGAATCTGCGGGTGGGGGCGAGCGCTGGAGCCCGAGACGACAACTCCTGTGCAAATGGGCTGCAACAAGAAGATAGTGGGGTCTGTGAGATGAGGAAATGTCCTGCTCGGGTGGGGAGTTCAAACTACAGCAATGAGGCACTGAAATGGGCCTCTTGATGCTGACAGGAACATCAGCTCAGTTCCTAATCTTTGCTTTTAAGGCTGTGTTTTCACTATGGAGACTCAAGGGGAAAAGCGTGTCAAACAGTAAATCCACTTCACAGCGACATCCCCGGCCTGGGGAGCAGCACAATGAGGGGCTGTGGGGCTGGGACAGCGTGGGCCGGGGCTGGGGGTGCTCCTGGGGGCTGGCTCTGCTGTGACGAGGATGCACCTCGTGTGTCTGGGACTGCGGCGGCACCGGGCTCGTCTTCCTGACGGGGAGTTTGTTTGGAAGCGCCCAGCGCGGCTGAGACACCGATCCCCGACGGTGGCAGAAGCCCAGGGAGCTTTGCAGGCACCCATGGGCTTCCCCAGGGCTGGAGCAGGGAGCA